GTGTTCTTGTTTGTCGGTGTGCTTATTTTCTATTTGTATTCATCTTGGTAGGTTTCCCATATTATCAAAGGAGGGGACATGGTTAGCTGCATGATCTCCAAGTTGCTACCTTTGAAGGCTGAACCAGAAGATATGCCTTTGGATATTGTATACGAAGATGAGCATGTTATCGTTGTCAACAAACCTGCACATATGGTAATTCGTTGTTTGTGTAGGTCAAGTTTGTTCATTTTATATTATTGATGGTATACTTTCAGCATTATTAGTATTTCATCACTGATTTAACCATGAAATGGAAGTGCTAAATTGAAATTGATATAGATGGGAGTTACAACTTGTTTATTTTCAATAATTTTAAGTCGGCTTTAGTTTAGCTATGTTCGAGTGTTAATGCTTCAAGATTTTCATATATTTCATTTGACTTTGGAGTATTCTTTTACATTCCTTTTAATTGTTTGAATTACCTATCACTCTCTACTAGACTAGCAAGCTATGACATCACACAATTATTATCTGGTATTCGCTTGCAAAGTTCCTTTGTAAGATGGACTCAAATTTTAGACAAGCCAACTTATGGGATCCTCATCTTTTGGTAATTGTTTGATTGCGGTACTCTTCAGGACATATTATGCCATCTTGCTTGTATTTATCTATAGCACACCAGCACTATCTTATATGCACATAAGTAGCGAATTATTTAATAACAAGTCAGTTCATATTGGATTCAGAACTTGGATAGAAATCGTTCCTCGAAAATTTTACCATAATGATAGTTTCAATCACACAATCCTACAGATGTTCAATACAGATAAGATATTGAATGTCTGGCTTGGAGAACAATTATTTATAGTACAATGCGATGCATCATTTAGCTTTGGTATGATGAATGATCCAAGTCATCTAAATCATGTTCTCATACCAATGGTGGGAGACATGTTGCCTGCACTACCAGGATGAGCAAGGCCCTAAAATGTGATTCTCAAACTTGTTTATATAGCACTATATTGATGCTTTCTTGTTGAAAGAACAGAACAATAGGTCATTAGAATCCTTTGTGAGAGAGAATAATACATTTATGATGATCCATTCAAAAGCACTACTTGCTGTAAATACATTAGCTATAGAAAATAAGTTATTGTAACACCTTTCTTTATATGTAGTTATTGAGTGTAACTGAGAGAGAGATATAACAATAGCCTTTGATCAGTCCTAGTGAGAATCAAGTTTGGTGGTTTTTGGTTTCATTATCAACAAATTTGTAGAATTGTCTCATTGGTTAGTGATGCCTTCATCTTATGGAAGATGAAATGTTTATACAAACTTCATATAGCAATTTATATTATTTGTCCAATTTATCTTAGAAATTTGAATGTATGAATAACCATTGAATTGGCATATACTTTACACTCTTACTGCATACGTTTTGACAATGCATTTATTCTTTTCAATTTTAAAATTGTGCTTACTGTTTTTTGTTTTCATCTTTGTTTACCATTTAATTTGCAGGCCTTGTTTCTTTTAACTGATCCACTGGTTTTTCATCTTAACTTTGCTTGTTATATGTGCTATTTTTAGGTTGTTCACCCAGCCCCTGGAAATGCTAATGGGACACTAGTAAATGCTATTCTTCACCACTGTAGGCTTCCAATAAGAGCATTTGCAAACAATATCCAAATTTCTGACACTGAGGAATGTTCTGAATCATCTGACAGTGACATTGAAGAAGTTTGTGCTGATCAGTCTTCCATGGAAGAAGTGGGCATAGAAAATTATGAGGCTCTTGTTCGACCTGGTATTGTGCACAGATTGGACAAGGGGACAAGTGGACTTCTTGTTGTAGCCAAGGTGAGCAGCAATTTCTGGAGATATATGATAGTTGTCTGCTGATATCCTGTTGAGCACTTTCTTTTTTTCTATAATCCATGAGATGGACTAGGAATTAACATGCTGCTCCAAGCATGTTCCAACAGACCCATGTTTGAGATGCATGGTAAATTATGTATGGAGTATCTCCACTTATGACTGGATCAGCATCTGCATCCATATTTTAGACTAATTGAAATTACTAGGAATTCCTTTTCTCTATAGGACAATTTGTACATGGTGGATAGCAGTAAATTGCAATGTATTGGCTACAATGATCTACAAGTTCTATTGTTAGAAGTTCAACCCTTCATACTCTTCATTTGAACTGCATAGTTGCTTGATACGAAATATCTAACAGTTCATTATTTGCATCATTGTTTTTGGATTGCTATTACATGCCACTTCATTACTAGTCAGATTGTGAAAATAAAACGTGGGCTTTCATATTATTTTTTTAACTTTTTGGTGACAGGATGACCATTCCCATGCCCACCTAGCTGAGCAGTTCAAAAAACATACAATCCATAGAGTATACATGAGTCTTACTTCTGGAGTTCCTAATCCAAGTTATGGAAGGATAGAAATACCCATAGCTCGTGATTCTAACAACAGGATTCGGATGGTTGCTGTTTCTGGTTTGAATAACAGTAGACATGCTCGCTATGCTGCTAGTAGGTGATTGATGTAAATTCTTTTCTTGCATCATCCATTCTGCTTCCAATCTATATAATGCATGTTGTCTTATAATTGTTTAAGATTTCTTTACAAAATAAATTAGAGAGTGGCTACTTGGAAATGTAAGTAATGGAGTGACTACCAGTCTTCTCTTCCCTAATTCTGACAATGGGATCAATTGAACACTTGAGAGTATTGACTCTGATCTCTTTGTTATTTTCAAAAGTAATGTTGCTTTTTGATTGAAAGGAGATTCTTTAAACTATTATTTGCTTTAGTTAATTGATTACTATATTCTACTTTTATATATATTGAAATGACAAGAAAGCGATGAAATACTTTTGAAACCTTTACTTGGGCATGCTTCGCTTGAAAGAAAACTTCAAAGCATGATGTTGAGCAAGAGCTGCAATTGTTGGTCACACAATCTTAAGCTCTAAGCAGTAAGCAGGATTAACTTTCTGAGGATAAAAAAACCTAAAGGTTTCATTAATATGATAACCAGCATTCATTAATATGGAAGTTTTTGTTTATCTTGATTATCAATTCAAATTTGAGCTAATATTACCTTTTTGTTAAACCGAAACAGTCCGAAAGTGCAGTTCTTTCTTTTTTTATAAATTTTGCATCGAAAGTATCATTCACATTTGACTTGTTGATTTTAGGTACAAGGTAATCGAGGATTTCATGGGTGGTGGGGCAGCTCTGGTGCAGTGGAGACTGGAAACAGGTCGCACTCATCAGGTATAAATATGTGGACTGTTTTTCGCATTGAAAAGGATACTTCATGGATAAAATTATAATTTTAGTCACTGACGTTGATCCAATTTATATTCCTATACTTTTGTAAGATAAAAGGATCCATTATATGCTTTTTAGGAATTTCCCATAACCTTTAATTGAAGTTCCTTTACAAGGCCATACAAAAAACCATTTCATTACTTGTTTGATTCATCAAAATTGGCAATAATCATATTAGACTCAACCTGGAATACTTTTCATTAAATCTAACATCAATGTGCATTACTTTCTCTGGGATACACATCTATTTTGTATGTTGTAATGCTTCCATCACCCAGTAGATCCGTGCGCATGCAAAGTACCTTGGAATTCCCCTGTTGGGCGACGAAGTGTATGGAGGTACGAAAGACATGGCTCTGTCACTTCTCAGACCAAGAACTCCTCCAACATACCATGGCCACCTCTCAAACATAATATCGAAATTGCAAAGGCCATGCCTCCATGCTTTTTCAATAGGGTAAGGATCTACTCCAAACTCATTTGATGTTGATACTCTGCTTCTCTAAGCTTACCAACTTCATGTTTTCTGTTGCTTTATAGATTTAAGCATCCTCACACAGGTGAATTCCTACAATTTTCATGCCCGCCACCTGATGATTTTTCCAAGGTATTGGATCAGCTCCGATCTATATCTGACTGTTGTGCAAAGATTTAGGAGATGGAAGCGGACCAGGTGTGTGACAGCATGAGAACTTGATCTCTATATCAGAATAATGTGGTGGTTACTTAATGCAATTGTAGAACAGTTGTGATAGTATTTGCTACAGTCTCAAACTAACTTTAATTCCATACTAGAATTGGATTGTGAGGAGTGAGCCCGAGGCATCAATATGACATTTGGATGACAACATAACCCCAACACACAAGTTGTTTTAAGTTGTTGACCAACATCAATATATTTGGTTTGATGGTCTTGCGAGACTGAGCTTTTTGTATCTTGTGGACCATACAAGATAAAGGCGGTGAACTATGCATGTGGATTGGATTGGCAAGTTTAAGGCTCCAAATACATGATGTAGTGGCTATGTGAGTTCCATGGTGCACCTACCAAAGATCTACTGATGATGTCATATGCATTCACAGTGAATTCGTATTCCTAAAAGATCTACTGCTGGTTAGTGAAATGTTGGAATTTGAGAACTAACTTTGTGTGCATATAATTTTATGTTAACGATACATTTGATATATATTTTTTTATTTGTATATGCATGTAATGGCGGAGTCCAAACTCTTGCATCCGTGCCCATCTATCTCGAAACCTTTCTCTTTCCTGCTTCACCTGTCGTGATAGGGAAAACATCTGATAGAACAGTTGGATCATGACAGTCGCTCTCATTCCTCGAACTCGGCGTGATGATCAAGTCCCTGACATGATTTGTTGTTATGATCGTCCATCACCGGTTTAGGACACCTGACCTTGATCTAAGTGGGTTGGGTATATATATATATATATATATATATATATATTTATATTATTCAACTCCCAAGTCATCTTTCTGTTTGAATATTATACCTCCTCGTTAAGGAGAAATGCATACTTCCCGGATATCCTAGACATCCATCATAGGCATGTGTGGTCTGTGCCCTAACTGTCAGTTCATATTTCAACAGAATTAACTCAGTATTCCTGTATTTCTTGTAGCATATACTGCATGAGCTAACGATTAACTCCACATATCTTTATCAGAAGTCCATAAAGGGTATCTAAAAAGTTAGGGCAAGCACATCATTACACATAAAAACATCAGAATACATTAGAAAAGGAGATACTAAACCAAGTTGAACGATGTCATTGGTGCAACAGATTTATATGGCATTATCGACAGATGTATCTCACTTATTTCCCGATATGAGCTTACAACTTATGTGATATCAACAAAGGTAAGAACCTGTCCCCAACGTTCATCATGATCCTGTGCCCAAGTCTGATTTCACAAGGATGAGTTGTGCTTGAGTAGCACATAGCCAGAGAGGACAGCTCGGTTTCGCTCCTTCACCTTAGTCTGATATATGACTCTGCAAATGCAAATTCTGGTTTGGGTATCCAGACATTTGTGTACACTAAGAAAGAAAACATAATGGAACAAAGGACACAATAGAAAACTTGCCTTGAGCCTTCAAGCCACATCTCTGTCACTAAAGTTTCTCCGGGATATACATGTAAAAGAAAACGACCAAAGATGTTTCTCACTGTTGTCTGTTCCCCGTTGCAAATACATTTTATGATGGCTCTGACAGCAAATCCAAGGGTACACAAGCCGTGCAGTATTGGGCGAGCAAACCTTGGAAGTCAATATAGGTCATTCCTTTATATGTCAAGAAGATTGATCACAAATTAAAATTACACTAAAAGCTTTTGAAACAACTGGGAGACTAGCTTATCATCATCAATCAAAAACTTGGATATATGAAACTTTACTATAAAGCACGCTTTTGTTTCAGGAAGAAAAATACCATAGATATTTAAGATACGCAATAACCAAAAAGAAAAAAAGAATGGATAAATGATTAGGCATCCAGGGCCACACTGTGACCACCTGAGAACAACTAATGATTTTCTATTACAGTTCACTGAGATCTGTTACAACTAGATCAGGTCTCATCTAAACGTGCTCTTTCATTGTGACACTATAAATCATTAAAAGTAGTAGAGTTAGTGGTCATAATAGCAACATTATTCCACTTATCATATAGCAAAGAAGAAAATAAGAACATTAAAAACAAAATCAAAATATTGAACCAAGGGCAAAAAACATAATTTTATAGCTTACCCTGCAGCCTGTGCTATCATTGGGTCTGCATGGAGAGGATTGTAATCACCTGATAACCTATATAACAGAGCCTGCGATTGCATCGTATAAAGGTATAAGTTCATTTAACAGGTAAAAGAAAGGCTTGAAGTTCCCTGGATAATGGTCATTAAATTAGAAAAGAGTGTTCCATTATTAACTGGTTGTAACAAAAATGTTGAGACATGTCTGCATCACAGACAGACATATCAACAACTGAAATGGGTCAGCATCCTGATGTCAATACTTGGCAAGGAGACAATTGGGTACAAGGACATGCAGGAAAAGAATAATAAAAACCGATGGTACTTGTGTTGCAATTTTGTGATAATGTGGCTATTGGGAGTTGAATTCATAATAAGCACTAAAATCATAAAAATATCCAGTTCTTATATTTTTATGTTGTTTGATATAGGGAAAACAACATTATTAAAGTCTAACAAGTATCTGACTCATATAACACATATATGTATCTGACAGCTTATGAGTATTAATGCAAAAGTGCATGTAACACTCTTACAGGTATAGCTGTTACAGAAAAAATCTCATCACATGAGGATATATCAGAATTCACAACGTTGCAAAGTGACTCCTTGTAGTTCATAATGTCAAAGACCGGGATACCATTTATATTAAACTATGTTAAGACATGCTCATATTCGACTTTATCAGGGATCACAACTGTATAATTCTTATGTGCTTAGCTACAGTTGTAACACTGCTAGAAAAGTTTACACCTCATTGAACGAATCGTCTACATGGGAAATGCTACATGGTAAATAACTAAGCAGATGCAAAAGAAAATGCATCCAGTGCATAAAGTCATATGACATAACATATTAATGAAAATTAGCAAAAAATCTTCACATGTTCACTTACCTAAGAACTTATCAATAGACATCAAGTATTGGCTCCTCAGATATAAGAGACCACATTACGGAGGAACATATAATGAGAAATGAAATGCAGTGTGCATAAATTCAATAAAGAAAACAGAACAAATTAGCATATGTAAGATCCCATATACATAGTCAGCAATCTCAAATTCTCAATTAAATCTATGCATAAGTAATATATCCAAAGTATTGGAAAAATCAACGTTGGTACAATGGCTCATGCAACAATCAATCTGTTGATCAAAGTAACAAACCTGAGATTGTTGGATAGTATCTTCATATACCACAGTAGGTTGATGTTTGGGAACTGAAACATGTAAAATCTGATTATCTGGGTAGGTTTTATATGAATATGGATGAGATGAGCTTGAAAAACCTCCAGAACCACGCAAGTAGATTGTGCTTCTGCAGAAGACAGGTAGTTTAGAAGATGTAGTTCAAAAGCTGCCACTTGGTAGTGTAACCATTGGCATCCCACTGACCTGTTCATGCACAATGCTTCACCAGATTCTTTCAAATAACTTGTAGTTTCAAGCTCAATAATAGTCGCTTTGCCTGTAAAAAAATTACTAAAGCCCACGTAACTATAACATAAATCCAAAATCTAACATAATTTACTACATGTTTAAGAAATATCGATTTCTTTCCGTAAGCATGATAAGAACAAGGTGGAACGTATTCCCATATGTCACAGGACAAGTGAAAAAATAACTGAAATAAGCAGTTCCACTTCGACAGAGTAATTTGCAAGTAGAAAAAGTTAGAAAAACTAGAGCTGAAGATCAAACAAGAATAAAACACACCTTTGTCATGCAAGCCGGCAATTGCTACCTTATTTACAATCTGGGGGAAGAAAACACGAGCGTAAATGCTATAGTGCTTACTGGATGTCAAACCTGTGAGTTGGCAACTAAAGTAAACTACATATAATTGACAATTTAGATGACTGAAATCTTACAGAGCCACTTGAAGGTAGAGGCCGAAAGATTTCTATGTATTGTTGACCATGCAAAAGAAGCCTAGGATCATATCTGCATAAAGAATGCAACATTTAGTTAAGCAATGCGACAATAGAACAAATTTTTGGATCAACTTGAAATGCTAAGACAACAATATGCTAGTATTATCAATAATCAATAATATAAATAATATACATGGAAATTACTCACTGCAGTCCACTAACTTTTTCAAGTCCAAGACCTTCTGCAAAAGGAAAGAGAGCCGCAAAAGTGGGCAAAACCTGCATTTTCATGATTTCAATAAAGAGAAGTAATTTGTATCTTCAACCAGAGTAAGCACCGCCCAAGATGCAAGATGATGTAGACTTCAGAGACTAATAACATGTCATAGATTTACAATGATCTTAAGGGCTTAAATCTATTATTCATAAAATAAAAATGGAATAAATAAGCAAACCAGTGAAAGCAATAAGTGTCACAGCAGCAACACCAAACATAAGGGAAGGCTTGGTACATCTGTTCATAATCACCCTATAAATCATGCTCTATCTGTAGTTTGATTGATTCAGTTATAAGAGTCTTCAACTCAAACATTATTGACTATGACTCTAATTTACAAATTTCCAAGGATCCAATTTATTCTATATGTTCAATGTTGCCTTCCTTTTTACAAGAACATTTTATACTGCTCGAAACGTACACTACAAGCAACGAAACATCCATCTAAACCACAGCTAAGACTCATTAAGATGTTGACCAAAACTTAGGAAAATAGATTATCGAAGCACTTGCCTCCATTTACGTATTGTTTTGCAGTAACTATTAATAGAAGCAAATTTTAAATCCAAAGCTACAAAGAACAACTCTAGAAGGCAAGGATTTAAAATACCATAAATTTGCAATTAAATAGGATGCACAAAACTTTGTGTCTAATTGAAGGGTTAGACCTCCTCCATTACTTTTAATAAACAACAACAATCGAGCCTCTAGCAGAGACACTTTTACCTCTAAACAAGTGTCGAACATGTTACACAAAACCCAATCGAAGTATGAGACGAAGAATAACTCTACAGAAAGCTTCCAAATGTAACCTGGATGGACTTTTGCCCGTTCCTATGGTAAACGTAGTTGAGCTCCTTCTCGTCCACTGCATCTCCAGCGCATGCTCCGACCCCCAAAGCATAGAGCGCCGCATCTCTATTCGCAACAGAGACGACGACGACGATAAAAAAGAAGTGACAATAAAGAAAACGAAATAGAAAAGGGAAAGCATTTTATCGAACAGGAAGAAGGCAAGTAAGCCGAGAGACGCCGGATCTTGACGCATCGAACAAACCTTTCAGTATAGCAAAACGAAGTCTGCGGGAAATAAAAGGAAGAAAGGATCAAAAGAACGAAACCGACATCACCAACCAAGCGACCAAATTCCTCGAGGACAAAAGCCTCGAGAAGAGAAGTGGGATAGATCACCTCGGAGAACTTGTGAGAGATCACCAGATCGGGATCGATGGCGGGCGCCGAGCGATCGGAACTCGTCATGGCTCGGTCTCCTCGAGGAACAAGAGAGAGAACCCGTGCAACACTCTTAACAGATCGAGGAGACGGAAACGAATAGTGATCGCGCCGCCACCGGTGAAAGAAATATCGCCTGCGGATTCAGTGGACTACGCCAAACGCAGTACACTGAGTTCCACCAGTCATGGCCTGCGATCCGATTACGTGTAAAGCTCCACATTTCTCCTCATCAAAAAAATATAATAATTGTTTATACTTATTAAAAAAAAGCCAAACTAAAATATTAATTAAATGTCGAAACTCGAAATAGTTAATTATTATATTAATAAATAACATTTCTTATTTTCAGTTATAATTTAAAACATATTGTATAATGATTAATTTTTATATATTAATTTAAATATTTTAAATTATTTTTATTTTAAATTATTTTCTCCAACAATTTCAATCTTTTTTTTCAATATCAAGTAAAAAAAAAAATGAGTACATCCTCCATAGAAGAGAACACATAAAATTGAAGAGAATCGATCAATCTCTCTTGCAAACAAAATACAAACTATTATGAACTACTAAATCTCGATCAATTTATGCATTGCTTAGCCTCTCGATACACATGAGAGTAATTACATCGATAAAAATACATCAAATAAAAAATATTTCATATAAGTGACAATGAATACTGTTTGTGTAAACTATCTTGAGTCGTGGCCTCGGGGCCGACGCGGCTCGGTTCGGGTCCGGATGACGGGGGATCTCCAAAGGGGGTTCCTCAGAACTACTGAGATCGCTGGCTCGGTCGTGGAGGTGGGTCGCCGTTTCCTCTAGGAAGGGGCTCCTTGCCTGGTGGGTCCAGAGAGAATCGCCTCGTCTTCGTTCCTGCGCACAGGTCGGGTCGGGGTGCTTAACCCGACCCCTCCGATGATCAAGTTAGTTCAAGGTCGCATGATGTTTTTTTTCGGTGTTTCTCTATTGTTCTCCCTTCCGCTTGTTTAGAACGCGAGGGTATTTATAGGGAAGTTTGGTGTTACCAGGTGTGCCTGCCCGTAGGGAGCAGGATCGTACCTCTGACAGTGTCTGACATCGCTGTTGGCGTGGCGTGAGGGGATAGAGCCTAAGGAGTCGTTAATGGGCCTCGGTTGACGTTTCGGCCCGTGTTTGTCAGGTGCTGTCAGTCCGACAGAGACGTGGGGTATCAGCTGATGTCACGTGAGTCTTATCATAATTATCTCCCTCATCAAATACGAACCACAATCTCTTCATCCGGCTCAATCAATAGTCTAAGCACTGCCTCATACTTTGCACAAAGAGACCTTCTTTGATAGCAGCTGTTTCATTTAAGATGTTCTCCTTAGCATTCCCCTGCAAGAACACATTAATGAGTCCGATGAACCATAGGGCTCCTTCCGCCGATTGCTCCCATACGAGTTCAGTTTATATCAGCCATTTGACCATGACATGAATCACTATTTCTGGGTAGGCCAAAGAGCTTCTGTAGTACCCATGTTGGCTGCGTCACCGTCCGCAGGGGCATACCGATCCGACTGCACGTCGGAGCTGCCGCGATAGAAGGCGTCGTTTTGGCAGTAGCCGTACTCGCTGCAGAATTGCCCGCCGGAGCACGACTTCCCTCCCGCTTCCGGTCCACATTGCTGGGCGACGCTGCCCAACGACGAGGCCACGCTAAAGATGGTCAAGAACGAGAGCTTCGTCTTCCTTTATGGTCTCCAGGAATAGGAAACGAGGATGGGAAGATGGATCTGGAGGATCGCATAGCTTATATAGAGTGGCTTCGAGTACTACCGCTGCATCATTGAAATCCCAAACGTATACCTTGGAGAGGATCTGAAGAAGACCTACGACTTCGAGACTTTGCACCGCTTGCAATTACTATAATGTCCGTGCTGCTATGACTACCAACTACGACAACTCATCGAAGGCCTATCAAAAGAGCCATCAGTTTCAAGGGGACATAGCCACATGCAACTACGACAACTCATCGAAGGCCTCTGGAAAGAGCCATCAGTTCCAAGGGGACATAGTCACATGCCACGTAGCTCAACCATGAATCTTAGGTCATTGTTAGGTTGACAGCGCGTGCGTTCAGTCCATAACGAGATTTAATAGTTTATAACCTATGGGAGGTATGATCGCTACTAAAAAGAGGTAGAAAACTATATTAACAAGGGCAAAAAAAACTGTAGCATCAACGTGATTGAAGAAAAAAGAGTAAAAAAATAAGAGAAGGAAAGAAAAAAAAGAAGACAAGGACAATACAAAGAGAATATTCTCAATCATCTAAGTAGTATTCTCATCTCAAGTTATATCATATCGTAGATTCTTACTGTGATTACTTGAAAATTTTTTGGATATTATGCACAGTGATATAATCCTTATATCCCAATTATTTTCTTGTGATTGTTATTTGGGTTTTGTGCGAGAGACTCTAATATTTGTATATTCATTATTTTTATAGTGAATTTTCTTTGATTTACCCTATTGTTTTTACCCTTCACGTTAGAGAGATTTTTCACGTAAATCTTGGTATCATATTTTATTGTAATTCTATTTAATTCCACTGCATGTTACGACCTACTTGTATTTGTTCGTATATAAAGTTTGTTCTCTCTTTTTATCCCATCAATTGGTATTAGAGCAAGTTTTTGGTGATTTAATTTTTTATGTTCAAACATGAAGATCGATAGTGTTTCTCGCATGATTAGCTTGCATGTAAACAATTGGATGATATGAAAACTATGAATGAAAGATCTCTTGTATTGTAAAGATTTGTATGAACCTTTGTAGGGAAATAGTGCAAAGCCCACAACTATGACAGATGATGAGTGGAAGAGGTTAGACAAAAAAATGATCAGTTTTATTCAACAGTAGCTCAATAACAGTATCTTTCATCATGTTTCTACTGAAAGTTCTACTTATTCTCTTTGAAAAAAGTTGGAAGGTCTCTATGAAAAAAAAAACAACTGGAACAAAGCTTTCTTGATTAGAAAACTTGTAAACCTGAAATATAAAGAAGATGGTTCTATTGTTGAGTATTTAAATGAAATATATAGTATTACTAACCAATTATCCTCTATGAAAATGTCTCTTGATGATGAGTTGCAAGCATTGTTACTTCTCAGTTCATTGTTAGAAAGTTGGGAGATACTAGTGGTTTCCCTCAGT